ACTTTGAGGGTCAACTTAGTAATTTTATACCTTTGGTATCTTAATGGCCTCGGCAGTGAGTGTGATTTGCAATATGAGCAAACGCTCGGTAAGACCTAGGGTACCGGTGTGGTATCGGCCGAAGGCTCTCCGATACTTAAGTAAGTTCGGGATTAGAAAGTTCAACTGACAGATCAATAGGCTTGTATGCCGTAAGTTCTGATTACCTCTATTCTAGGGTAGTTGGCCTCCTTCATAGGCCTTGGAAGGTGTGCACTTTGTTGATAATTTCGATGTGGGACTGTGGACGTCGCTTGAGAGCTTGCCACGTATCCCTGGAGAGGGTGTTGCCCTAATGAAGCGATCGGTAAGTAGGGTGCCGAGGGCTCCCCTGACTAGGCTCGATTTCCTCCACGTGTCCTGTTCTCATTGGCTGTTCATTTTGGGTATAAACAGGGGCTCGTATTCCCCCTAGATCGTTTTCAGTTAAGTGACATTGCTGTCGGCAATCAGAGAGTCAAGTAATCTGTACGTGATGAGAATACCATAGGTAACTCCAGAGCACTGTACTGCCGTTGGCTCGTACCCAATGGATGTTGTCAAGAAACTTAAAAAATAGACGAAGCTAAATTGGAATCGGTAGTAAACACACAAGAGTTTAGCTTTCAATTGCCGTAGGCAATGTTGCTGTGGCTCGTGTATAATGAGCCCTAGGGTTCCCTCTGTTCACTATCGTCACCCTCAGCTGGGGAATTGGCTCAGAAGACTCTCAACGACCAGAAGTGGAGGCCTCCGGACGGTGACTAGAAGATGCCTCCGGCATCCGAGCGTCCCCCATTTGAGGCTCGGAGTGCAGGCCTGAACCAGCTTGCCTACCGTCGCTATACACGACCCTCAACGGCTGGGGCTGACTAGTCATAAGCCCCTTGCCGATCCCATGGGTGGGCGCAGGTCTAAACCTCTCGCCTACCACTTCCACCTCGGAGCCACTATCTCTCTCGGTATCCTGGCCCGACTCATCACTCTCGGTACCCTTTTGTTTGTTAGGAGACTCTCCATCGTAAGTGTTGGGCTCGCTCTCGAACCCAGACTCGCTATCAGACATCTACAAAAAGCAACGAAAGGAAACTAAGGGCCATTCCGAGGACTATCCTACTGATGCCTACGTCTCTACCTATGGCAACTAGACTACCGAACCACACCCCACTTGCATAAAGTTCTAAGTCTAGTTCAAACCAAGGAAGGACGTACGCGTAACGAAAGAAAAGGAAATATAAAGTTACCGAACGGTACCTTAGGTGGACTGAAGTGTAAGGATGAAAATCGCTCTGGCCACCGTTCGCTCTTGCCGGAAATCGCCTTGCATTCCGAATGATCTCGCCGGAAATCACCTCTGTTGCCGTTTGCTCTCATCAGAAATCGCTTTGACAGAGCTCTCGCCTCACTCACAAATGCAAAAGTGAATTTCTCCTCAGAAACCACTTCTATTTATATGGCGAAAGTTGCAACGGTACGCCTCGAAAAACCAAACGACGCATTAATGGCGCCGCTCCGCGTGATTAGACACACCACGTGTCACACAGTGAGTGGAACCTCTGACAGCACGCTGGGGACAGAAGACGAAGCGTCACTCTGTCCCATCACTCCCCCTCCTAGTGCGTAGATCGCGAAAGAATAACCAAACTTGCCCAAGTTAATAGGCAATCGGCAAGACTCCTCGGAACCCCTTCGACGCGCCAAGTGCTACCGAACGGTAGTCCTCAAAGTGGCGACTCTTGAGCTCCTGGGCAAGTTTCTGAATGAATCGGCATTGGGACAAGGGCCCAGCGCGCCTCCTTCTCAAACTACCGAACGATAGAGCTACCTTGCGGCCACCGAAGAACAAACAAGTCCCCAACCGAGAAATCTCGACTGAGAACTTGGGGGACTCCTGTTTATACCCAAAATAAATAGCCAATGAGAACGAGACACGTGGAGGAAATCGAGCCTGGTCAGGGACGCCCTCGGCACCCTACCTACCGATCGATCCATTAGGGCAACACACTCTTCTGGGAAACGTGGCATGCTCCCAAGCGACGTCCACAGTCCCACATCGAAATTATCAACAAAGTGCACACCTCCCAAGGCCTATAAAAGAGGCCAACTACCCCAAAACAGAGGTAATCAGAACTTACGGCATACAAGCTTATTGATCTGTCAGTTGAACTTTCTAATCCCGAACTTACTTAAGCATCGGAGAGCCTTCGGTCGGTACCGCACCGGTGCCCAAGGTTTTACCGAGCGTTTGCTACTTTTGTAGATTGCTCTCTATACCGAGATCAAAAGGATACCGAAGGCGTAAAATTACTAAGTTGACCATTAAAGCATGTGAACCAGTTTTTGGCGTCAACAACGTTGGTAAAAGAACATAATACTTTTTTTTCCCCTTTTCTTCACTTACCTGATCCCCGAGTTAACATGTGATTAAGTTGGAGATATATTCAGTACTGGACCCATTAGTAGTGACTCATGGTATGTCTCTATGAAATTTTGACAAGGTATATCATAACAGACTAATTGATTGGGCTTGAATTATTATGTCTTTACTTGCCTTACCTTGCCTAAATTATTGGGCCTTTACTGAGTACATCCTATTCACATATTGTGCTCAATTTACTAAGCTTGAGCTACCCTTAAAAAAGATCAAAGACCGATGAGAAATTTTAGGATATTTTTCAAGATTATAGGATCGTTGGGGGTTTTCCAAGTAAAAATCTGGTGTACTTTTTTTTTTTTTTTCTTTGCTTGATTGATTTTGGGCTAAAATCTAATTGGATTAATTTCGTAAAATTTTGAAATAAAGTCTATTCAATAGCCACAATTGGCATGTTGTGGCTAGGGAAACTGTAGTGATTAGAGGATGGTGAAACCATATATAAAAAAAAAACAATTTATATATATTTATAGACATACATTATTTTTAAATATATTCGATTATGAGGCCCATTCTACCATATATTTCATTGATATGAGCAGTCTCATTTTCAATTTTCTTTTAAATACAAGCTATAGTCTAAACTCTGAGGAACAATGGGGTTCTCTCACACACACACAACTAAGTGTCATGGGTGTTCGAACCTAAGATTACTAATTTACAAGTTAAAGCCCTTTTTTTACTCTCTAATTTTCATTTCTTTATTTATAGGCTTCAAAAAAAATTAGACAAATCATAAACTATTAATACATTTAATTGCAATGAAAAAAATAAGGGAGACATCAAAACACATTAAAATGACTACCACATAATTAAATGGTTAAATGATTTTCGATTTTGTAGATTTTTTTGCAAATGATACTTGAAAATATAATGCAAAGTGTGTGAGCCCTAGACAGATGTCAGTCAACAGACCCCCTAATTTATTTGCATAGGGATTGACCAAATAATAATGTATGGGAGTGAAGCCGACCACAAACAGTGCCGAACAAACGGCACGTTAATTTCTTACCGTTGAGCTCACGGCCCCACTATCCCCGCCGTTAAAATTCAAATATAGTGCTCTGATTCCCCTAACGGCTACATCAGAGACCTCACACATTTTCAAGAACCAAGAACAGACCCTTCCCAAAACCGAAAATCTTTTCCTAAATCTCTTAATTAAAACCCAGAGATCTTGCACTTTGAATCAAGACCCATAAAATCTTTGACCCAAGAAACTGATATCTTTCATTAACAACCCACAAAATCCTTGGCAAAATCTGATCGTATAAATAAAACCCACCAATCTCAATCTCATGGATTCGACAGCAGCAGCAACACCTCCTTATCATCATCATTCTCGTTCGGAACCACCGTCCAGGACGAAATCAGCCTCACGGCTTGCCCAAAGCGGACAAATTCCTCATCTCTCTCTTGGCCTCATAACATCATCACCCAAGAGAACTCCGTCCCCTACCGCTCACTCTATCAGATCTTCCGATTCCCTCCCTCTCCGCGAGCTTCTCCTTCTTTCACCTTCAACTCTCCGAAAAAGGTCCAAGACCCGTCTCACGGATCGACTAGAAATGGCTGATGAGCCCGTGGTCGAGGCCGCAGGGCCACGCCGGAGGTGCAAAAGCAGAGGTGCCCAGATGGGCTTATTGGGCTGTGCCTCGCCGAGGAACACTCGAAGGTCGCGGAGGCGGTCAGAGACTGAGATTCGAGAAGATAAAGATTCGGGTTTGGTGGAAGAGATTGCAAAGCCAAGGAAAAGGCGGTCGAAGAAGGAAAAGCTGAGCTTGGTCCTTTCTTTGCCCTCCCCAAGCGCATCATCAAGTAAGTCCCAATTGCTCTCTTTTCTTTCACTCTTTGATCTTTTCAATTCCTTGGGTTTTTATGATTTCATTTGTTGATAGTCGATGATGAGTACTGTGGTAGCCTGGATCGAATCGGGCAGCTAATGAATGATCTGCTTATGTGGAGAGACGTAGCAAGGTCAAGCCTTTGGTTTGGTGTGGGGTCTCTTTTCTTCTTGTCCTCTTGCTTTGCCAGAGGAATCAACTTTAGGTGACTACTTCTCTCTTTCAAATTTCCCTGATTTCCTTATTTTAATGGTAGAATCAAGCATGTAATTGTATCCAATTCAATTCTTTCAGCATTTTCTCAGCGATTTCCCAACTAGGACTTTTGTTTTTGGGTGCTTCATTTGTCTCCAACTCAATCTGTCAAAGGTGCAATTTTCACTTACTTTTTGTATTACTTTCGAGTTCCGCCCATCTTTCTCTGTTGGCTAAGCTTTGCCAATGATCTTTTTATTTAAATTCACAGAAATGGTGTTGAGAAGAAGCTTGATTTCATGCTCAAAGAAAGTGACATTCTTGGTGTAGCCAAAATGATACTTCCTGCTACAAATCTTGCCATATCGAAGACCAGAGCGCTTTTCTCGGGAGAGCCATCCATGACCCTCAAGGTAATCACAAAACAAATTCTGGTTGTTGATGGATTAAGACAGTGTTTGGTATTGATTGCATGATTAGTAAAGTGAGCTCAATTTTCTGGTTACAGGTAGCTCCATTCTTTCTTCTGGGAGCAGAGTATGGGCATCTTATAACACTTTGGAGGCTCTGTATGCTTGGTATAAGACTTCATTCCCATCTGCCAATCAATGAACCAATTTTTTTCTTCTTCTGTTGTTTTAAATCTTTAATGGGAGTATATGCTGCTAACTAATTGTGTAAAATTATGGCTAGCTTTTTTTATCAGCTTCACAATCCCAAAACTGTACTCATGGTACTCCATCCAAATGAACCAAAAAGGTATTTAGAATCCACCAATGTACTTGATGTCTATAAAGTCTGCCTTTATATTCATCCCGCACTAAACGAAGTCTAATTTCGATATGCAGTTGACTGCTTGAAATGGTGGGTGTTGGAAGCATGGGGAGCTTGCTCACACAAAAAGATTGTAGCAGCATCAGCAGCCACAGCTTTTTGGAATCTGTCTTCTGTGAGAACCCGTATTTTCACAGGTAATTTTATTGCATTGCAGGACATTTCGTCCCTGGAACAACATGTGGAAACCTGTTTAAATTAGGATCAACTTACAAAGATATTCGTAACGAAAGCGCTCTTAGTTTTCCTTTAATTTTGTGGCATTTTGAAATCTGTCTAACTCATATTTTGCTGACTAGTGATTTAAATAGATCAATGCGCAGATTAATGTAAAGGATACAATTACTTCTCTGAGATTCTTATCGCTTCTATTTGCAATCTTGTAGGATCATTTCCTTGTCCTGAAGATTATTATGCGAAATGATGTTTTTTTTTACCTTTGCAGCATTTATATCTCTTGTAATTCTTCGTTACTGCCGGCAACATATGGTGCAACCGATGGAGAATGGGGAAGCAGAAGTGGAGCAGGAGCAGCAGCAGGCATTGGCGGTGGCGGTGGCAGAACCGGAAGCAGAAGGAAAACAAGAGCAGGAACAGGCATTAGTAGTGGCCGAAGTAGCAAGCAAGCAGTAGTTGTAGTTTCAATTTTTCCATCATCCATTCTAACACTAATGTGTTTGTACCTGATCCAGTGATGTGACTGATCCATTGACCATGTTCAACATGTACAAATAAAAATGGTTTCCAAATTATTTTTTCGGAATGCCCTCATCAGCGGTGGCAATTGCTTATATATATATATAAGCCTGGAAGCTAAATTGCTTTTACATGATCCTCAGTCGCACCAAGCCACTGATTCCGAAATCAAAATGATCGATTCTTATCAGTGCGGTGATACTTATAGTGAGAGATTCATTTTACTCAACTGATACGTGCCTTTTGATTTCCAAATTCCACTTTATTTTATAATGATTAAGCATTAGGTGGCTATACCTATACGTGCCTTTGATTGACTAACTATACATTTGATTCGACACTTGTGTTCAAAATTGTAAATGTTTAAACATATATATACACACATTTTGCTGTAAATTAATGCTCACATTACCTCAAGATCTAATTTACTACAGCCAGAAGTAATGCGAGCATGGTATATGAATATTTTCATGCTAAGTTATTTTTAAAAAACTTCTTGAGTTATTTGTTTCTTTTGATTTTTAATGAAAATATTGGGCATATACAAAATACATTAGAGGTGCAGGATTTCTTATCCTGCTTCTCCCCTTTTTGATTTTTAATGAAAATATTGGCAATATCACAATGCAGCCATAATCAAGTAATTAATCAAATTAATTAACAATGTTAGCAGAATTGTAGATCGATGGGCATAGACATAAGCGTTGTTCTATATCAGATTTTCCAATTAACACAAATATTAGAGTATCTAGACAGCTTGAATCTAGCTTAGCATAACCAAGTCGAAAAATGGTTCTATAAAGTATCAGGCTGCCGGATCTCTCCTGTTCAAAGAGGGATCTTAATAAAATTAGAACTCACAAACTAAGAACGAATTGAGGATAGTTACATTCATATCTTCTGAGCATAGATATATTATACAGAAAGAAAAGCTGGCCAAAGAGAACTATATAAAAATATATTTATTTAATTAAAAAATGAGGGTATATATATATATATATATACCTATTACCCAAAGCAGTGTGTAACTTAACAATGGTTTCTTCCTCCTCAGCAGTGATGTTCCCTCTCTTCAAGTCAGTCCTCAGATAATTTATCCACCTCAGTCTGCAACTCTTCCCACACCTCAGCAATCCTTCAAATCACACACAAACACATTGATTTGTGTATATTTACAACCAAATGAATACACATTGGAAATATATATAAAGGATCCTTTATTGTAAAAATCTTTCAAGGCTAGCTAGCTACTATATATATATATATATAATATTTAGACCTGCATTCTTGGGTAAAGATCTCCAAGAGCCTTCTCCATGAAGTTGAATGTAGTTGGTCAAGATTTCGTCTTCTTCAGCTGTCCAATATATATAATATTTTGATCTGCATTCTTGGGTAAAGATCTCCAAGAGCCTTTCTCCATGAAGTTCAATGCATATCTACAATCGCCTTGTATTTGATTGGCTCCTGACCTGTAAAATTGTTGGTCATCTTTTGATTGGCTCCATGAAGTTCAATGGTACAGTCCTACAATCGCCTTGTCATTGTATGGTGGACATTCAAGGGGGAGTGTTATAAATCCATACGTTATGGGTTTATAGGTTATGGATGCCCACAATAATAGCCACTATTAACCTATCATAATACTCATCATTATATATTTGTAGCATACCAATTATGGGTGGGCGGTAAATGAATTAGGCCTCTCTACCCCTATAAATAGTGGCACCAAATATGAATGGAATACAAGTTGATTTGATCAAATTATAATGTCTCTTTCTTCCTCTTATTCTGACCAATAAGATCATTTCCAAATATTTTTTTTATTAAGCCCCTTGCATGGACTGTACCATATGGGAAACATAAAATATTATAAAAAAATATTCTTACAAATAATATGGCTAATTCATTTCATCTTGTGACATGATTGATCATAAATAAAACTTTACAAGAGTTTGTTTAGGCCTAAAATTATCATATAAGCCGAAAGTGTGGTTTTCTATAAAATTTATTAAGTTTGCATGATGCATTTTAATTTTTTTTTTAATGAACAAGTTCCAATGCAAAGAGCTTGTAGCTCAAATGGTTACGAGTAATTACCCTGTACTAGAGGTATTGGGTTCAAATCCCCCTTCACAAATATCTTTTAAATAGAAATGAAATATACAAAGTATCCAAGCAGTCAACGCCAGTCATGGCGGGTTGTTTAAATTTAGGATAAGCGACATTTTAGCCCAACAGGTTTGGGGTCATTATTAACATGGGCCACGAGGTTTTAATTTAATCACTTCTTACCCTAATGTATTAAAATTCGACCAATTTACACTCTTTGTTAGTTTCACCGTTTGGTCTTTAGTTAAATTAATGATATGCAATTGATGTGTCAAAAAATCAATATAAAATTATTTAAAAATAATATTCTTAAAACAAAAAGACTTCCCAAAGTCCCACCCACCCTATGTCTCCTCTCTCCCTTTAAATGAACTTACACCCTGAACTGACATATCAATCAATTTAGCACATGAATTAATTTATATGGCCAGTTTCACACTTACCGCTATAATTGAGGCAATTTTATCCAAATTGCAGTCAATAATTACACATAAGTCACACATGTGACATAATTCGATGGCAATTTGGTCCTCCTCACCCTAGCCGCCCCTTCCTCTCAATCACCATCGGAGCCACTTACTTAACTCTTCGTCCATTATTTTTGGCAAGATCACCCAAATAAGAAAATACTCTTGTTTTTTTTTTTCTTCAGATTAAGCTCATCCCAGTCCATTTTGATTTGCTAGCTTTCAAGCTTTCTTCTTTATTAAAAACCCATAATTTGTTCTTTTCTTCTTTATTTCAAATTTAACTCCAATCAACAATTTAATTTGGCTAGGTTTTACGAGATCAGTTTCTCATGCTTCAGCTTGCCCACCCAATTGTACACCCCCCAAAAATGCATCGTCGTCCAACCGCAGCAATAAAAAGCTCATCCTGATCTCCCTTCTCTCCGTCGCTCTCATTCTCACCTTTACCGTCACCGTCGTTCTCCTCTTGAGCGTCCGCTCCAAGGCCTTCCCCAATTATCAGGCAACCACCTCAAGGCCACCAAGGCCATCTCCAATATACCTAACTGGTTTGGGTCGTGGGGGGAGAGAGAGAGAGAAAAAAAAAAAAAGGGAGAATGGGTCGCGGTGTCAGTTTGCAAGTTGGGGCTCGGACATGGGTTGCGGTTAAATTATTGGTTCGAATATGTAACTTATTTGTAGAACTAATTAATTGTATTTATTGGTCAAGAATACGATACTCTCTGCTATTACCATATATAAATTATTGTAATAACTAAGAAAAACATTTACTTCTCCAAACCCTAACTCTCCCCTAGCTGTGAGAAACTACGTAAAAGCAAGAGATGCTGCTCTTGGATTTCTCAAGTGGTGTGATAAGTTTGACTCAACCTGACCTACTAGGCCAATACAAGCTTAAGTGCCTATATATATATATATGCCTTGTTGATTGCACAAGTTGTATGGCCAATGATTTTTTAACGTGGGTTTGGCACTACTACAAAAATGGAAAACTACGACACTTATTTAACGACGGTAAAACTAAAAAGCGTCGTGTTTTTAAAAACCAAAAAAAACCACGACGGGTCCATCTAAAACCGTCGTGTTTTAATAGGCCCTCATAAAAATTACGACGGTTCGTTATTAAAAACGGTCGTGCTTTAAAACGCGGCGGACAAATAATTCACTTAAGTTTCACTTCAGTTTAGAAACCCTCTATCTCAAACCCGTCTCTCACGACCTTTAGAAACCCTCTCTCTCTCAACTCCCTTTCTCATCGCTGAAACACCATCTCCATCGCGCCGTCTAGGTCACTAAGTTTGCCATCCAGGTTCCAGATCTCGGCATCCAGCCCAATCCTAAGGTCGTCATATCCCTTGAGTCCAGGTTACCGAAGTCGCCAAAAGTATCGCCCTCACGATCTTCACGAGGACACCTCCACAATCTTCGCGATCTCCCCTCTCTCGAGCCCACTAGCTCTTCTCTTCCAGGCTTCGCCTTCTCTTTGTTGACCCGTTCTCTGGTAAATTTGAGGTTTCATTTTGGTCTTTATTTGACTTTTGTTTGGGCGATTTCAGAGATTTGCAAGCGACGCTTATCGGTGGTGGTTACGAGTTGGATCATCGTTGTGTGATCACGATTCTGTTCTTGGGTCCAAGTCTGGCGACGTC